AAAGCTGTAACAGTGTGAAAATGAAATAAGAAAATCAGTATCAGTATATGTAAGGACATTTTGTCCTGTTTCCCTAGTTATAGTTTGACCATGTATAATTTAGGCATTATGTAAACATGCACATTTGGAACCTGTCTCTGCTCCTAGGACTCTTCCTGTATTTTATCTAGTGACTATTAGATGTAAAATAGAGAAATAGACCTGGGAGAGGGGATCAAAATATGGAACTTTGCTCACTCAGATAAATTATAAATGCTGATATACCATAACCATTAAGCTATAGCGAACCCCTCTTTTGCTTGTTCTCCTTCTGGCCCTGACTCATGCATACCTTCCTGCACAGTGGCCCAGCTTCAACGGGGGATGTAGGGTGCCTTAGCTCAGCCCAGCCTAGCCTACTAGCTAGGCACTTCTGTACGAGGTTAAAGATATGGGTTGAATTTCCACAGTTGGAGGCGGGCTAAAAACCAAGCTCTTTCACTTTCTGAACAAGTACTGTAAGCCAGATGTTGAATACAGGGTTACCACGGTCACCTGCAATACTTGTGAGTGGATATTGCTGTGGCTACTGAACTCATCGTCATCAGTGTGCTTAGCTGAATGCACCTACTTGCTTAGGCCCATCAGTGAACTTGGGTGCAGGGACACCTAATATGTAAATCTCAGCTAACCTTAGGATATAAACAGACATCCCCAAATAAAGTGGATCAGCTGATCTGCTTCATTGGTCAAACCAGGCATCACCAGTTGCCCTGCAGGGTTGGGCCCCTGCCATTCCTGGGAGTGGCTGGGGCCCAATCTGGAAGGGAGGGGAAAACACTTGGATACATCTCTGCAAATGGAGGAACCCCAGGTTTCCTCCCTAGCAGAGGAGCACCCAGGGAATTCCCAGGTGTGTGTCTGCATTTAGGGGAGCTTGGAGTTTCTCCATTTGAAGAAATGCACCCTAAATCAGGTTGTCTGAGCACACATCTCTACAGAAGGGGAGACCTTTGGTTTCACCATTTCCGGAGCTGTGCATCTGGAGAGTCTGGCTTGGGATACACCTCTGCAAATGGGAGAAGCTGGGCAGGTGCTCCTGGTGCTTCAGAAGCAGAAGTCTGCATGCCCCGAGAATGAGAATGCATATTGTGTGCAGGGTCAGGTCCCTGAAGCCCCGGGAGCACTTTCCTGGGGTGGCTGGAGAATGTAGGCAGCTCTGGGCTGTCCATGCTCTCCTGCCATAAATCAAACAGACATCTGCTGCAAAATAGTGGCACAAATTCATACCACCTATGTCATGGCCACAAATTTGGGCACTTGCAGCACAACAAGGGGCATGGACCTCTGCTTGGCGTCTGTGCAGCCATAAAAATTTGACTGGACACCTAAGAGGATGGTGCTGAAGCTGGATTTATAGCACCAATGTTTTCTTGTGTGTCTAAATGAGTAGGCAGGGGTTTTTGTGAATCCTGTTCTTGGGCTTAGGTACATAAATTCTTCCTAAGTTGCACTATAAATACAAGTCTCTTTTCAGATCTGGCATTGATACCCATACTAGATTTAGCCTTTTGTCTTAAGTATGGTTTTACAGAACTGGGTTCTGTTTTCTGTGACTGTGACATTTATATTAACAAGAAGGCTGACTAAAATGTTAACATTTTATCTGAATTCTAAAAATGTTTTATAATGATCATTAATCAATCTATCTATAAGTGTAACATATTCCTTCTACTGTGTTTCTTTTAGGTATAAGGAATTCTGCTTCTCCACGACCAATAAAAAATACGGTTGGTAGAATTTTTAGAACACTGAATAGCTTAATGTAGTTGATTGAGAAATATTTTAAATACAGTATTTAGTTCCATTATACTTAATTCATTCTTTGTTGATGATCCATTCCTGTAAGTGTTGACTGAAGTTAATATAAAAGCACTGTTGACTTCAGTGGGCTTTTGGTTTAGACCCATAGAATAGGGATTCTCAACTGGGGTGCCATGACATCCTTTGAAGGAAGCCATTGTACCTGGCCTCTGTGAGAGGAGGTAAATGCTGGCTCCTCCACACACGAAGCATCCTCTGCCTGCTCCAGTGTTCTGGCAGTATTTCAGCTTCAGGAGCAGGGGAAGGAGCTAAACTGAAAAGTGCAGCTCCTCCCCACTGGTAGACCTTGTGCTGACTGCCCCTGTGTTTCAAGCAGTGCACTCTGACATGGGGCTGTGCTTTTTTAGCCCAGCTTCTCTCTTGGGGAACGGAGGCTCTAGTCACTGGCATTCAGGTCCCCAGAGGAGCAGCCACAGCAGCAGAGGCCATGCTCAGCCCCTCAGATGTGGAGTTGGGGGCAGGGAAGAGGCAGAAAGAGCAGAGTACAGCAGGGCTCTGCCCCCACCACCCTGATCTGGCACCAGTCTGTGCCTCCAGTGGCCACTGTCATCCCCTTCCACCTCCTTCAGGGACAAGGGCCTCCTCCTGGATACTAATGACCTACCCCAAGCTCCACAGACTGCCCCGACAAGCAGCCCCATCACTGCTGGGCACTGTACCACCACTCCCTCAAGCTATCAGGGATACATTATCCACTGCTGCCTGCCTTGCTACACTGAGAGATATTTTGAAGGGTGCTGTGGGTGCAAGAAAGTAAGCACTCTAAGAAGTAAACTCTTTAAAAGGGATGCCACTAAATTCTGAAAATCTATGGAGGTGGGCCTAGAGTCTTAAAAGGTTGAGAACCAGTGCCATAGAGCCAGCTTCAGGTTATACTGAGTATCAACATACATGCATTTTCCACTGAGTGTAGCAGGAATTGGTTTGAGCCCACAGCAATTATGACTTTGAAAACCCTCCTGACATTAACCTGGGCCATTCACAATGTCAAAGCCTTATTGTGGGCAATAAGTATTTGTAGGATTGGG